TGTGAGAAACATACAGGAGTCACGTTTAATCAAATCGTGACAAGGAAAAAGATTATCCTTTGTATCTCTTTTTCATTACCCACTCATTAACTCTCCAATGTTCACTTACCGAACCATCGGCTTCTTTATCCAACACCAATTCGCCATCAAAAATCGTCCCATCTTGGAACGTTGTAAAGGTATTATCTCCTGGCACAGGGAATTCGATGTGAGGCACGAAGCGATATATATTTTTGCGATCAATCTGTTGTTGTTACAGTTAGTCGCGCTCAACCACTGCCAATAGGTCATGATGAGGGTGTCTGTGTGAGTAAATACAAACCAGATAAACCTCTTGCTGACGGTTAGCATTGAGCACGATCAGCACCAGTACTCGCAGGCCATCTGTCTTCTCGCAGACAAAGTAGCTAGATAAGATACAGAAAATATTGGGTTAGCGTAACCATCATTCAGTGCGAGTGTAAAGATATAAAATGAATAAAAGTATAAATAAGTTATTAATTAATCGTCAATAACGACCACTGTTTCTAGTACTGTATTACATTCTTAATATTATTTATTTTTTAATGCGCTACTAAAATAGTGAAGTCAGCATACTTCTCGTTCTCCAGCTCCTGCAGATGTTTCAAAGAGAAACTTATAGGCTGTGCCCCTACAGTATGCGTGGCATAATGTTCGTTTATTTAAGTACATTTGCAGTTATTAGATGAATATTTGTATAACTTGTACCGAATACTTACCAGGAAAACTGTGATGTATATGTTGTTGATGTGATATTGGGTTAATTGATGAGAGAAAGAACAGTAAGCAAGAATGTAATAAATCAACATAGGATATGTTTGTTGATAAGCCGACGATCGTTCGATACAAGCACGCTTGTCCACTATTCTTTTAATACTTTTTTCTAACAATCTTGTCTAGCTAACGTGCCTTGTACTAATTATACCGCTATCTCGTTATGTCGCTAGACTCTCTCACGGCACTTTTCTCCTTCTTATTCACTATTTACCCTGTTTGTCCAGTCCTTAGTAAATCTTTGACTCGTGTCTTTAACTCTGCAACTCGATCGACATCGACCGGGAGTCCAGGCAAATTTGGTATGGAAGAGTTCATTGTGTCAAGCCTTCAAAAACACTCTCAAGCAGTTGTTATACGTGATCGAGAGAGAAAGAAGAAAAGAAAGTCCACTCGGCTGTAAGGTGTGTGAGAGTTATTGGTTTTTAGGGCAGGATGCTTGGGAGTGGTTGAAATCATTCCATTATGTCGGATTATACATACATACAATTTGTAATACTAGTTCTAATTTTATTATTTATATTAAGTATGTACATCACTATTCTACGGGATACTCCATAGCGCATACATCCAAAACTTGACAATCAAACGTAGCGCCACATCAAGATTTCAGGGGATATGTTAAAAAGAATGCGTTCGCTTTGCTATTCTGCGCGGATATCATTTCCGAATAAATCATGTAGATTGCTATGCTCTCTACATCAGCTTGGTATTTGGCATCAAGGCAAACTGGTGATAATTAATGATATCTTATAAAGAAAGATTGGACTAGCAACTCCCCCCTCCCCCCCATCCCTTTTTTTTTCCGTATAAACAACACATTCCTTGAATTTGGAGTAAATTCACACAAAACGCTCCAACACAAATATCATAACTATTCCACAAGTAAAAAGTTCTTTTGCTAGCGTAATAGGATGACTAGTATCCATTAATCATAAATATTTCATCAACTCGGCTAAAAAATTCGAGTCACACTCTGTTTTACGGGGCGGCAGGCCTTTTTTAGACATCATTCGGTCTTTAATTGATTATCACGTTTCCTTGTTCGATCAGACGATTCCTTTGACCGCGTCTCCTTCCTTCATTTACGGCCCCGTTTCATTGCGGCACAAACATCTATGTACATCCCCTGCAATTCTTTGTGGCATATGTTTATATCCTTTTATGTCTTGCGTGTATACATGTGTCAAGCTAACAGTTCCATATTTATGCCATTGTCCAAAAAGCCGCACAGATATGGCTTAAGAGACTGTGGAAAAACATTGTCATAAGATCATCTTATTAATAACCTGCTTATCGCATACTGCTTGTGGCTCGTGACTCTATATACATTTACAGTTCGGGATTTATTACACAGTGTGGCTTGGTATGATATTGTTACTAGTAACGAACAATTTGTGCCGCAATGAACCATTGTCTTTGGTGAAAAGTATTCAAATCTCTCGATTGATAACGAGCAATGTGAGCATAATAATAGCGGGACAATTCAATTAATATATCAGATTGTGCGAGAGCAAGAATTAGCGAAAATTTATTAATATGTCAGCTGATTGTTTCCGCTCTCCTTTTTTTTATTGTCGCGGATCATGTGGGAGTTGTATGAGCGAATATGGTGTAATTCATCTCGATAAACTTTGCATAGTCTCTAGGTCATGTACATTATCTGTTTATTGCAATATTAATATATCGACTCGTCTCCAATTTACAATTCTCCTTGGTTGGCGATGGGGGACTTTCAGGTGCGAACGGTGAAGAAACACCATAAAAGTAGTTATAGGTATTCGTTTAGGCAATTTTCATGGTGAAGACTTCTCAACAATGGATATTAAGTTGGCGAAACAATAATATATCCAGGAATACAAATGTTAATTGAGGCTCACTTACGGATAACTAAATTCAGAAAAAAGAAAGTTCCTTTTGCAGGGAATTTTATTAAGACGTCCGGAATAAATACGTATTCATACTCATCTCCATTATAGTAATTGTCGTCTTGTATTGGCATTACAGCATTATGCGAATTAAATAGAAGGTAATATTATAAATCCATTTTTAAATCAAACCACTTCTCTTTACCTACAAGAAACCCATTACGTCAGCATATTTGAATGTTATGTTTGTTATAACAATGACATCAACTTCTTTCCCTCCCCTATCTACCCCGAGGTTTAAACTAACACATTTAGCAAGCTCTCGCTACCCATGGTCAATAATGTCAGTCATTCTTCTCTCCCCAACAGTTTTCTTGACTGTCCCTTTTAAAAACTCACTCACCATGCTGAATTTTGCTTTCTCCAACTAGCTTAAACCCAAGATTCTCGTAGAATGGGATCAAATATTCATGACTAATTAACACAATCCGTTCATAATTTTCCTCCTTCATTCGCCTCACATACTCTGTCACCAGGCGTGTAGCAACTCCTCGCCGTCTAAACATGTTGTCAACGCAAACGGAATGCACACATACAGTTTTACCCTTCGCTTCATGTTGAGACATGGATGCGTGAGTAAGAGTTGGAGAACAAGTGAGCGTGCCAACAACAAAACCGATTAGGTAGTCGGAAGCAGGGAGGTAAGCTCCAAGGAAAAGGGAAGGAGCTTGATTTTGGCGGTATTTTAGCACGTCGAGACTTGCTGCTTCATCTGGTGGGTAGCCTGGTGAAGAGAAAAAGAGGTCAAAGAACGAATGTGTTAAGATGAGAGTAAGATGAGCGAGGGAAAGAGGTTGTGCGGCGGCTATTAGGAATAATAGTAATAGTAAAAGAATAAGCTTATTCGTAGGGAATAACTAGCAAGTACTTCACTAGTTTATTACATATTGTGTATGCTCTTACCATGAAATTCTATTTGATATGCTCGATCAATGTCCGGCGCGTTGACTATTCTGAAGATCACACCTACATCATTTGATACCTCCATTGTCAGATGTATTGCGAGAAAAAAGAAATGTCGGAATATACTGGACAAAACGCCACAAAACCATGTCAGGTCGTGACGTCATTAGCTAGTAATAAACTTGTCTGCATCGATGCCGTCTCTTCGCCCTTGTGCTCGTCTGTACGTTGTTGACCTTCTCTGGGATGTTTTGTCGTTTTTACGTGGGACCACCGGCTGTGGCTCAGGCTGATGAAAAGTTTTTATATAGATTGACTACTTCAAAGTTTTACGACTGATTGATAAGCTCACCCAATTATATCCAAGCAACTCAAAATAACAAGTAATAAAAGTTTCCCATTCGTCAATTTTCACAATAGGAATTTAAGTTTTACTTGAAGAGAATTCTTTGAAATGATTTGCACAACAAATCTCGTTTTTACCAGTCAATACGAACATTAAAAACAGGCTATTTCTTTATAGTTCAGACAAAGATTTTGACGCATTATACACAGAGAATACATATGCAAGAAGTTTTGGCGTATAGGCGAAGAAGAGATTTGAAACGTCGTTGAAACAGAACCTGGTTCGTCACGTAGATGTGCATATACTGTATATAAATATATCTGTTATGTTATCATAGCAAAATGAGGTGCGTGCATGAGTTGAGGGGTCAACGCCAATGGTTGAAGTGTGTGATGCAGAGGATTAGAAACACACATTTTTTGAAGCATTGTCTTGTTAGCCAATATCATCTACGTACGTACCAATTGGAGACTGGTTTACCGTTTGCTTTCAAGTGAGGACGATCGTCAAGTCACCGATAAGTCCAGAAAACAATACGAGTATCGCTAATTCTCTTGGGTTTCAATGACTATCGGTAATCCAACATAACTGTTCTCGGCGGCCAATTTGGTTATGTTCGAATTACAGATGCGCGAGATCATTCTTAACAGTCCGACGTCGTGATATAAATCCCGGTAAGAGTCTGTTCTTCCCGAATGAATAAGCAGAACGATTGTTAATGCATAAGATGACGATGACAACATGTTTAGAATATTATTTTGTCGCTGTAAGAATACATTTACTGGTAGGTTGATTTTTATTGTATACTCTGCCATATCATATGCCAATTATTTTTGAACTTTTCAAAATAAAATACTTGTCTTATATCCAAGCGAAATCGATTACAGATGTCTTGGTGAAAATTTGTGCACAAACTGTGCTGCTTTTGATGACAACATTACAAGATTACGTGTGTCGTGCAAAAGCCAGTGCTAGATCAATGGCGTAGGAAAACGCGACTCTTCCATACTTGCGCTCGCTTCAGAAAGCCGAATTCTTAGTAAATGTTTGATGTTGTTTTACAAAACTCCCATAGGCTCTAGCCAAGTCATTTCCATGATTGTCGTTATTAATGCAGTACTTTCTTCAGCTAAGACATTGAAGCACGTCTAGTTAACTCCATGTACTGCTTGAAGGCTGTTTTTGATTGCGATCAGGATACACTTTAGCTAGTAGGATGCAGTTGTGAGCGCGCCATCGCGGACCGTGTTACTATTTTTTATGTATCTCCTTTCTCCTGTTTCTGTGGCAGAGATCGAAGATAGTAATTTAGACTCCAAGATAGTTCTGCTAACCGCTCGTTCCAAAAGGCCTTGATATTACTATTGGGTTGTCGGGTTGCTATCTCGATGGCTTTTATTCTGCTGAACAAGTAGTAAAAAATTGTCGTTAGATGAGATGCTTCTATGACGAAAACATGAGTGGAATAATGTTGCGGAAAAGTCATGCAGGTAGGTGATTTTGAATTGCCCCTCTGGTTTTTTTCTTAGTTTGTTCTTCGAAGGTAGAAATTTCTTATCGTAGAAGCTTTCTTTGCCAAATAATTTATAAATTTCGAACACTATTCCGATAAATAAAAATTTTGGTTCTTTGTCGTATAGTCGTCTCAGATTGTTTCGATATCTGGCAAATGAATATTGTTCACCGCCGACAGTTTTGTAATTGGTTGCAACTTTCTAGACTTTATAGTCTTAATTACACGTAACATTCTCATGGAGTCGGCTATTACAAGTTATGCCATACAGAATTTTATAGCTAAAATTGATAGATGCAATTATTATAATGGGGAATAAAATCCCAACAGGTTATTGTTATATAATTAAATATTAAATACTCATATTAAATAATAATAACGACTACAATCAAATAATGAAAATATATAAATTAAATTATACTCATTCAAAGAGCTGAAGGCAGCCCTAGAGCTGTGTTTAATAAAGGACAAAATTAAAGAAACCATTTTCGGTTAACAAAGGATAGAAATAAGCAATTTCGGACTCAATTAAGCTGCTGATTTGTTTATGGTCTTGTCTTATAAATATTCCCGGTCATGAATTATAGGCCGACAGGTATTGACAACCCCGGTTTAGTTTATCCCTAAAATAAAACATCTTGGACGGACACGTTTGAATTTATACGGGAAAGCATTATACAAACACTCATCCTAACCAACCTGACAAATATTTGTATCGTTCATATATTCAGACGTACGGAAACGCGTTATTTATACTTAATAAATCTTCATGACATGCATTTTTATAGCATCCATACGGAGTATTTGGAAAAGCGTTGTCATAAAAAACAAATAATCATATCATCTGTACATATATAACATCTCAGACCGCATATTAAGAAACGTGTCACTTGAGTACTAATATTATTTATAAATTCGTAACATTTTACGCGGATACGTCTGACAGTTACAGATAGAAGGTGGTAAGTATCATGTCGGCTATATTTTGGAAAAGTTTCAGAGAGACGTGTTGAAATCGTATAGAAAGGCATTGATTTGAGTACTTAAAATGAAATGCTATGAAATTTTATAGTATGACTGAAATGCGGATGTTTGCATGTTAAAATTTGTCAGATTTAATTATGCTAGTTTTTAGGCTACTTCCACCTGTGCATAAAAGTAGTTTCAATTATTCTGGAAAGTTTATCCCAAAAATCAAGGCAGTTTGGCGTGGATCAGAGGAGCGTTGGAAAGAAGCTGTCAAGCTGTTGTCCCCGGAATGTTCTCAGTGGGGGCTCCGAGGGCTTCTTTTCACGCATCAAACCAAAGGAGTCGAACAAAGTCCAACGGCCATAGGATATTGCTTTTATGTCATATTTAGATGAATTAAAGGTCTTTAAGAAATACTATCCGTGTATTACGCGTGTAAATTTGTACTTTTTGTGTGATACTGTCAGGTCGAGTATAGCAATATATCTTGATTCCAATAACACGGATATTATGCGATTTTCACTGTAGGAACCCATGGTATCAGACATAATAAATACGTGTATTCGAGCAGTATGGCAGAAATTTTGGCTGTTGACAATTTCGAGGCAATAGTACAGTGAGTATGCCGTAATAATAATTCTCCCGCAAGTACGAGGCTAAAAAATTGACAATGAATTAACTTGACCGCTTCCAAACAGCATGAAAGTTCGCGTGCGGTGACAGGGAGAGCCGAAAGAGCAAAGAGGGCGATTTTAGTATCTCTGTGATATCATGTTAAATTTACTATCTCTCACGGCAAAAAGAAGGATTCAAAATTACTAAGCCGTATCTTTTCCATTATAATAATTAAGACTGGCATGACCATTAAACAACGAGTTTTTTAAGACGTTCCATTTCATTTACGTAATAATCGAGTAAGATTGATTTCAACAGAGAGCAAATGCTTAACAAGTTACCATATCCTACAACGAACCAAAAGTAACGAATTATCTTTCCGATGTATTGTCACATTTGTAAATCCACTAGCTATTTAGCAATTACGATGAGTCAAATTCCCGGTTGAATCTAGATGCGAATATCGCTCATCTAATATTCCCCTCTTACTGTTATGTAAATTATATACACAATCACTTTCGATAAGTTTAAAGTCACCCTGCTGGACCCCCCAAAAACAAAACTTCTTATAACGAAGATCACACGGAACATCATTAATTTCTTTAATTAATTGTCCAAGGTGTTGTCATAAGAATTTAATATGTTCTGCTCGATAAAATGACGACCAATTATAGTGATGATTTACGCTCTTCATTAAAATCGAGAATCGTTTTCCTAAGCTTGGTTCTATATAAATCGCATAACATCGTTGTGATAACGATCGATCGGAGAGTGTTTGTATATAAATAATGTACTGTATATATAGCTTGATGCCTGGCATTATACATTTACTTCCAGCGATCTTAAATGGCGAATTTTTTAATAATTATTTGCTTTCTTGATTGACATCATTCTCCGTACAGCTCTTTATGGGCCGTAACGGTTATCCTATGCCAGTTAACGCGAAAACTATCCAATGCTATTTGTTGAGCACAAAGAGTGTACTGATTTTAGAGGCCTTACTACATAGTTGAAGGAGCATTAAGCATTGTGACAGATTAAAAAAAAAAAACGGTCGGATTAAAATGAAAATTTAAAATTTTTTGGGGGCAATTTTCTAGGCATTAAAAGCGGATCCAAGAAGACCCCAAAATTCATTTTAATCCGATTCTGCCACAAATAGTTATAGATGGTTTTTAATCTGATCTACTGGTAGATGTTACACCCCTTAAATATCGAATAAAATTTTAGTTGAAGACTAAATAAACCATGGCAGCTATATCGAAAGAGGCATT